GCATGTGAACCAAAATGCTGTGGTGTTTGGAGAAGACTTCCTCAAGAAAGAGTTCCTTACAGAGAAGCTGCCCGATGGGAGGGTGATGTTAAGTGGTCTTGTTAGTTTGGGGAAGGTGCCTTTTCTACTAGATGACATTAAACACAAGTCCTAATGCAATGTTTCCCAGCACTAATACTTACAACCTATAAATCACTTGCTGTCAAGGATCCTTCATAAGCTATAGTTTCTATGTGGTTCTAGGAACATTTCTGCGCTGGGGGTGAAGGCTGTGGGTCTGCTGCAGGAGCCAGAAGTCCCTGCAGTGCTGTTGCCTGTCGGGCTCACCTGTGACCAAGACCTTTGGTGTCCCCTGCTCTCATCTCCTGTGGGGTGGGCTGTGTAGGAGAGGGCAGTTTGGTCATATGTGGGCTGAGGAAGAGAGAGACACCACCTCGCTAGATCCTCCTATATTCATGCTCGTGGGTGTGTTCTCCCCTCACCCAGAAACATTCTGGCAAAGTGGGGATTTAAAAATCTAGAGGCTGCTGGCCCAGGGATGCAGCAGTCAGGGTAAGAGAAGAGATCTTTTCCCTTCTATGAGAGGAGAGCCGAAGGTTCATAATGGAAACACAGATGCTGGTGCTAAGGAGGGGTCCCAGCTTTGATCTAGTCTGGGAGGCCATTATCACTCCCTCTCCCCGCATTCTATACTGTAGTTTTGTGCTCCAGTACACTTATATTTTTTTACCAGTCCATCTGTCAACTACACATGGCGCTACTGAGGTTCAAAGAGCAGAAACACAAAGGGAGTTTCATGGGGAAAAAACATCCCATCCAGTTCTTGGGTAAAAACTGCTGCCCTCACCTCTCTTTCATCTTCTACCTCCCCTCTACCCCCCCACCCCGTCCCCTCGTCCCCTCGTCCCAGTAGGCTTTCATTTCAGCATTCTTCTGCTAGGTCTTCCCTGATTGTGCATCCAATGACATCAACAATTTTAATTTTTTTATTTGTAATAAATCCAGTGTTCCCTAAAATACACTAAACATTATAGTCAATGAAGTCTTTGACTCCCATCTTGTCCTGTCTGCCCAGTTCCAGCCTACCCCTGCTCTGCACAGATAACCACAGTTCACAGATGTCATGTTAAGAGGAACTTGGCAGAGCCAGCTCTGGTCTGTGGGTTGGGATGGCAGAGTGTGTACACGGATTCAGTAAATTGTTTAGCCCCCCACCCCATTCAATAGCTAGAGTGCATTTACCAACGCTTTAAGATAGGATTTCCCTGACTCGCCTTACCGAATCACCTTATACAGTACGCATTTCTAGTTAAACTAAGCAGTAAATTACACAGGAAGTGAGTTCATCACGGTCAGAGCAGAAATCCATGGCATGCTGTTTCTGAGCTGCTGATGTGTTGGTCTCCCTCCTTTCTGCACTGTTGGGTCAGTTTTGTTGTTTGCAGCATAGCTTTAATACATTTACCATCTATGTTTCTTCTCACACTAGAACTTGCCTTAATCAGATGCTATAGGTGGATTCAAGGCTTTTGCTTTCAGTTATGTTATGCTTTTCATTGAGTAAAGATGAGATAAATGCCTGCATTTCTACCACATCCTCTCAAAGAGACAGTTAATTCTTAAGCTCTCAGCTTCTTCCCTCCTCTTCCACCAAAATAGATGAAATTTGACATCTCAGTAATGTTTCTAATAATGAGTCGTTTTCTGACATTCAAAAGCAAGACTTTCTATGAATCTTTCTTAAATAGTAGCGTATGCCTTAGGTGCAACCCTGGTTATTTAAAGAAGATAATTTAAAATCTTTAACTGTAATAAGTTACCCCCAAATTTAGTAGCTTAAAGCAGCAACCATTTATTGTTATTTCTCATAGTTCTGTGGGCGAGGAATTTAGATGGGTAACTAACAGTGAGGGCGACTTGTCTCTGCTCCAGTATGTCTGGAGGCATGGCTGGGGACTAGAGGCCCTCTCTCCCTCCTCCTCTCTTTGTATGGTCTGTCTCTCTCAGCAGCCTTAGGGGATTGCACTTTTGTGCTGGCTCAGAACTCCAGGGTTTCTTATGACCTACCCTGCAGCAGTCCCAGAACATCCCTTCCATCCCATTCTTCTGGTCAGGCAAGTCTCTAAAGCCAGCCCAGATCCATTGGTTGGGGGATTAGATCCACCTTTCATCGCAGTATTTTGGCTATCTTTAACGCAAAACCTTAATAGGATGTTGTTGTTATATTCTAATGTTGAATTGTAAGTCTCATTTGATGAATGTAAAAACTCCTGAGGAAGTTAGCAAATTTAGTTTAAAAAAAAAACCCTATAACTCTTAATTTTCACTTTTTTTTTAAGAGGGAATGTCTTGGTATTTTAAAATTTACAATCTGCCTCAAAGGACTAGAGGAAACATGTGGAACATTGGTAGATGAGCTAAAATAAACTCCATCTACAAGTTGACCCTTGTTAAGGTAAAATGAAGCCACTGTGATCTTTGTTCTCATGATATGTTTTCAGAGAAGAGTCTTTTTCGGATTGTCCAGCCACTTGACTATTTCATGAACTTGCCCCACATTTAAGAGATCTACATATGTCAAAGTAAAGTCTGAGCAGTCTCTAGAATGGATGAGGTATATTACATGACACATGGATCTGAGCTAACCAGGAGCATACCATACATAGGTCAGAAAAGGCTTGACGTACTCACGTGAGTTACCGAAAGGAGAAGGGCGCACACATACTAGTGGTTTTTGTTCTTGTGCACATTTTTGCCGGCTTAGAATTTTTAAACTTCATCTTCTTAATCCAAGCAGAGAAGAATTTGCCACTTTTCATTTAGTCTTCACACTTTCATCTAACTAGTCTTTGTAAAATGAATTCCGGCATGTCATCTGTATTGCATTTGCATGGAAATCTGAACTTCATAGAGCAAGTGGGCATAATTCCTGTACGATTCCGTTAAACCACTTTTCAGATTTTATGGCACGTTCCCCTACGCAGAGTAAAGCACACGTGACAGGTAGAGGGAGATGACTGGGCTGACTGCCGTTCACTGTTGGGACTGGTAAACACTGTGATCCTGATCGAAAGTTCAGTAGGCATTAGGTTAAATTTTTGTTAAATTAATAAATTAAAATTTTATAGTTTCTAAACTTAAATGATTTTAGCACATTGATTCATGGGGAGAAAACTTAATTAGTAGTTATTTCATGGGTTAATGAACTTAGGTCCTTGAATAGAAACTTAAATTACATTTTTCTGCCTACAATATTAAACCAGGAGGCTTTTTACTTGACAGTTAAATTGTGTTCTTAAACTGTTTTTTTCTTTTTTTTTTTTGAGGCGGGGGTAATCAAGTTTTATTTATTCATTTTTAGAGGAGGTACTGGGGGGTTGAACCCAGGACCTTGTGCATGCTAAGCGTGTGCTCTACCACTTGAGCGATACCCTCCCACCTCAGACATTAAAAATGTGATTTTGATTGGAAAGCAAACGACTTTTTCACAGTTGCTTCAATATAATTTTATGGAGACAGCATGATAAAATTATTTTTATTTATTTTTTTATTGTGATAAAATATATGTAACAAAATTTGCCATTTTAACCTTTTTTGAGCATACAGTTTAGTGGCATTAAATACATTCACATTGTTGTACCACCATCCATTTCCAGAACTTTTCTTTCATCCCAGACTGAACCTGTGTATCCATTAACACGTTGATCACCCACGTGGATCAGGTGTGTTTTCTGTGGGGCCCAAACTCACACTTCACCACAGTGCAACACACTAATAATATATGTGCTTATAATTCATCTGTTTTTCCAGTATAAGTGGATTTTTTTTAATTTCTTATTTTCAGTTTTCATTTACATCATCAGTTTCTTCACAGCTTTATTTCTTCTTGGAATGTCATTCTGTACAATAAATTCTGCATAATTGGATGAAGGAAGCCCATAGACCAGACCACCCATATGTGGGTGACGGGGCCCTTGAGGAAACACAACTATCACCCAGATTTGGGTGATGTAGTGATTAATGTGTTAAGCACCTACTCCTCATTCCCCCGTCTGTCCAGCCCCTGGTAGCCACCATTCTGCTGTCTATCAGTGTGCCTGCTCTAGGACCTCATGTAAGTGTAATCATACAGTATTTGTCCTTTTGTGCCTGGTTTATTTCACTTAGCGTAATGCCCTCAAGATTCATGCATGTGTCAATTTTATTCCTTTTTAAGGCTGAATAATACCCAGTTATATATATATACCACATTTTGTTTATCTGTCCATCAGCGGACATTTGACTTGTTTCCACTTTTTGGCTATTGTGAATAATGCTGCTATGAACACTGGAGTACTGATTATCTGTTTGAGTCCCTGCTTTCAATTCTTCTGGGTTTATACCTAGGAATAGAATTGCTGGATCATGTAATGATTTTATTTTTTTAAGGACTGTCTTCCACGGTGGCTCCAGTGTTTTACATTCCCACCAACAATGCACAGGGGTTCCAGGTTCTCCACATCCTCACCAGTATTCGCTGTCTGTTTTTTTGAAAAATAGCCATCCTAATGGGTGTGACGTGATATCTCATTGTAGTTTTGATTTGCATTTCTCTAATGAAAACTTGTTTATTTGCATATTTTGCATTCATTTATATTTGAAGGTGTGTGTTACTTTTAATTTATGAACCGCATATGAACAATGTGGAAAATATTCTGTAAGAAATGGTTGACTTATTCAACTACACTTCCAATTAACACAGATATTTGAGAGGATTACAAGTGCTTTATTTATATTGATTTTTGGAGTACTTAAACAACAGTTTTAGGCCAATGTGGTTGTATTACTTTGCAGTAAATGATTATATGGTCCAGGTTAGGAAATACATGATTCTGTTATTGTTAGAAGAATTCCTATGTCCACCTGTTTAAAATCAGTAATACTGAAAATTGGTGAATGCCATTCAAAAGTTGGATGTTGACTTCAGAGGTCAGTACTCTCCTTCTTGTTAAGTATTTCTGTGTAGACAGTCTTTACTTCCTTGGGTTTCTAGAAGAAGACACACTAGAAGGCTGAAGCTTAGTTCCCAAGCGTATCTATCTAATATGATACCTTATTCCCAGAAATAGAGCCATCAACTGGCGGGCCATACTCACTGTTAGGCCAGGATGCGTGTTAAACTACAGAACAAAATATTGTAAATTTAGGATTCTTGGGAAGTTTAGGGTCTTCTGTTTACTTCATTTCTTTATACAATTTAAAAATATGTATTATCTATTGCAATTTATAAAATCGTTGTTGGTTCCTGAAATTGAGATAATTTTGGTCTGAGTAGTGTTTTGAGATTCTGAACATGAAGTGGGGGATTAGGTGTAAGGCTGTTTTATTTTTCGACTTACCCTGTGGGTTATGGTAACGATACATACACGACAGTGCTTGAATTCCGAGAGGTGTGTGTGAGATTACTCGTCATTACTCGAAACAGCAGTTACAGGGGTAAAACTTACTCCAGTTTACTAATGGTAATGATTGGCTGAGCAAACTCCAATTTAGAGCACCCAGTCCACACACATTCTTGTCTAGAAAGATTTAGCACGTATTCATGATAATACCTTTTAAAAAACTTTTTCCTAACAAAATATCTTTGTTAGACTGCCACTGAAACCAAGTAATGAGTAAAAACTACATCATAATATTAAAAATACAAATGCTCTTACATATGGGGAATGGCATAAAGGGTACCATCTTCTTTATGTGTGTTTCTCTGTTCCTGGTTCACTGTTACAGAGTTTGACATCATTGGCAGTTCTGCATAGCAGTTTGCAGTATGTCCCAAGAAAACTGGGATAGAAAATAATTGATGGTATATTACCATTAAATAAAGATAAATATTAACACGACTTTCCTTACTGCTCTGACACTGCACCTTTCTGCTCTTAATGTGTCACCACCTATTTGATCTCTAAAAATTGCTATTAAAATAACTGCTAGTAAAAGTATGACTTTAATCTGGTTTGTTTTTGTGGCATTCACTACTCTTAGTCTATGGTATAAATTAACATGTGCCTCTCTTTCTCATCTAGAATAACTCTACTCATGGTGATTTTATGCAAAGTAATGAGGCCAGTTTAATAGAACAAGCCCCAATACTTCATGACGGACTCACTGTGGCACCTCATAGAACCCAGCGAGAAGGTATGCTGTGCTTTTTTCTAAACTTTAAAAAGCATCTGTACATGAAAGATTGCAGAGTACTATGAACATTGGTTACCTCACTCCTTTTTCTCCTTTTTTGGAGTAGAGAAATTCTGCTGGTCTTAGGTTTGACTCAAATACTGGTCCTCCCACTCTGGGCCCTGGCTCCCACGGTACCTGGCCTGTCTCAGCCCATGCTTATGTGGTTCTACCTTGTGGTCACTTGTCCTAAATCTGGTTGCACACTTCTGGAGGGCAGAGACCTTTACCTACTCCCAAAGTATTACTAGTATAGTGCTTTTTTATCTTAGGATATGCTCAGTGTCTACTGAGGAAAATAATTTTACAAAAGTTCACTGCAAGAGAGTGAAGAAATTTCTTACAAGTCCATGCTTTCTGCATTAACACAGTTTTCAGGAGGACTGGGTGTGGGGTGGGGGGAGTGAAACGACATTGCTACCTGAAAAGAAGTGAGTTCAGGTATTCCCTTCTCTTCACATCTGGGGAGTCCACTAACCTGTGTTGAGGGGAAAATTCAAATGGAAAATGTAGACTGCAGCCTGGGCAGCCTTGGAAGGGTGGAGGATACTTGGTAAGCATCACACTCAATTATAACTGCTTTGAATTGGTGTCACTTTGTCTCCTTTTAGTTCCAGTAATAATCCTTTTTGTGTAACATATTTTTCTTCACAGAGGAAAAATAGGTGTGAATGTTTAATGTTTAAAAAAAAGTTTACATAATTACCACTTCTATTTAAAGACTATTAAAACTATTTGAATCATAGATGACTTCAACGAAGCTACTAACATACCAGTAACCTAAAGCAGATTTGGTTTTATAATGAAGGTCCTTTAAAAAAAAAAAAAAGAAACTTAAAAATAAAGATCTTATCAAAATGGTAACTGAACTAACTGTAAGGTGGTACTTTAGATGGTTTTTCTTAAATTCTTAATTTTTAAACAAATGTACATAGTTCATGCTTTTCCATTTTAATTTATGAAGGTTGGAATATCTCTCGTTGTCAGCCATTCCCCACCACATACTTCGTCTTTCTCATCTTGATTCTGATAGATCACAGCAGGAATAACTTGAAGTCAAGACTGAAACCATAGCCGTGTTCCCATACCCCGACTGCCCCAGTGGTCCCTATCCTCAGCCCGTTGATTTTCAGAAGTAGCGCTGCTTCGTATTTCTGAACGTTGATTAGTTCAGATGGTTTTTATTTAATAGCATCATCCTTTACATAATTTACTAGAACGGTTTTTGGAAACAGCAGACCCTCCCTTCCCGCTGTGGCCTTTATCATACTGCAGCAGTTTAGAACAGTTACAGGCTTCTCACCTGGCTTTTGAGATTTTCTTTTGTCTCCATCCTCAACATTTCTCACCCACCAGGGGGAACTGGCCCAGTCGCAGGCCACCAAACACTACATATTTGGAAAGTTGGCACAAAATACTGGTAGTGGTATCCCCTTAGTTTATTATGAATGTCTGTTTACCAGCAAATTTCTGTAATCTTAGGTTTCCTGCTTTCTCATTGCCCACCTTCTGTGATCTATAGCAATCTTAATTCTTCCTGTGTACTTTTGTTACTTTGTATATTCTGCTTCACCTACTTAACTTCTTCCTCTAAGGGAAAATGAGTCCTTCCCTTTTCTTCCCCATCTCCTGTCCCCTGAATCCAGCAGTGACCCTGATCTGTTGAGTCACTTTTCTAACTTCTTTCCTGTGACCTTTATCATCTTCATTACTGTTTCTTCTTATATTCTGAGCAACAATCTTTTTTTTTCCCCTTAAGTCCTTATATCATGCTTAGTAGACAGGCTCTTTCAATTTGTAAATAGATTTACTTCCTAAGGTAATAACATTTATTGAAGGATATGTGTAGTTCGGGGATTTGCACATTTGCTTACCTCATGAATAAGCTGACCATCTTATCTAGTTCAATTCAGGGTAATTGTTCTTAAGCCACTAATGTAATTTATGATCACTATTTTATCTGTATGATAATTGTGGAAAATTTTGCTACAGTGAATCTTCATAGTTCATTATAATGTTAAGTTTGTATTACCATTATATGATGTTAAGGGTCACGTTTGAGAAAAACAATTTTAAAATTCTCAATTGGAAAGACATTTTTATCAGTATTATATATTATTTTTGAAAGGTTTTTTTCTAATTTGAAAAAATTTTTTTTCTAGTTTACACCTACTATGCATAAATAATTGAATGACTCTGAAGTGTTGTTTGTGATGATCTGAATTAAACAGTTTGGAAGATGATCATCTGGAAAAATAAATCTTCACTGCAGGCACCTTTTATTATTTATCTTTGGTGCTTTAGCAGAGTGCTTGAAACAACTTCAGGCACTCACCATCCTGAATGGCTAAAGAAAAAAATTACTTCATGGACGGACAGCACATTGCTGTGCTTCTGGGGTTTTTTTGTTTTGTTTTGTTTTATTTCATGACTTAAGGCTAGTAGTGAAGATGAAGATAAATAGCTTAATCATTTAGCTTTGTCAAATTGGGTAACTGAAATGTGTGTCTAGTCTCTGTAGAACAAGTCAGCATGTTTTCTTTCTTTCAGCTGTACACATTGAGAAGATAATGTTGAAAGGAGTCCAGAGAAAAAGGGCTGACAAATATTGGGAGTACACCTTCAAAGTAAGCTACTCTCGCCCAAAAAGATATCTCGTACTATGTTAAATGATCTTTTGGAAGGAGTGAAAATTGATCTTTGGAAAAACTTATGGCAGGTTTGCTAATTTAAGAAAAGCTATACATATATATACACATATATATGTCTGTCTTAATTAAGGGAATGTACCATTTTCAGTATAGTGCATGGTTTGCCAAGTTTTAAAAATTATATCACATTAAAATTACTCTGACAGTTTTATTAAAAAGAAGTAAGAGCCTTAGATTTAAGGTGTAAGCTATATCTTTGAAAAGTAAACATTCATCAGTATTTTTAAAGTCAAGATCACAGGCATTGTCTCTTCCTGGCATTGTTTTCCCTGATATTTTTCTCCTTTCTCCGAGGCTTTTACTCCCTGGCCTTCATTGCCTTGCCTTCTTATTTCTGATTGCTCTGCTGTCATTCTGTCCTTCACACAGCTGTCCAATTACCTGAGAGGCCCAGCTCTGGTTCTCGTTCTCCTTTTTGCCTGTTGATTGTGATGTGGATTCCGCGTCCACGTCTTCCTTCCTCCCTGCTCCGGCTTCAGGGTCACTCCCACTCTAAGGTGGGACTGCACACGCCTTGAAGCCTCATGGAAGGATGCTGTGTTTCTGCGCATCCTCACTTCACTTCCTCCCCAAAGGTGTTGCTTGCCAAACTTTAGCTGTACTTTTCTCCTGAAGTCATTTCTGATCCTCCAAAAGAATGTTTTTCCATTCATCCAAGGTATACTACCTTCATACCTTTCCCAGATTCTTTTACTTGTTTTTTTCTTTCCAGAAGGTTATCAACTCAGAGCAGAATCTTCATCCTCAACATTTCACCATATCTGATTTGCTTAGTACATTTGTTGAATGAGTTTCAGGACTCTAACTTCTGCCTTGTGGGAGAAATAGCCTCAGTCTGTACATTTCAAGTCCTTATTTCCACGTTTCACTTACGTTTTGTAACACATGGCACAAGCACACTCTGCTCTCTTCATTCAGTTACACCAGCTCTCCTTTTGTCACTGCAGCTCTTAGCTTGTTCCTTCCTCAAGGCCTTCATTGACCTCTGGCTCTGGAATGATCTCCCCCTAGACCACAGCACAGCTGATGTCCCTTCCACTTAAAGACCAGCTCAAATGCTCCCTCCTCCGGGGTCTTTCTTGGCCTCCCGCCTAGTGTGCTTCTCCCACCTCCTGCACTGTGCATGGTTCATTTTCTTTGGAGGACTGATCACTGATGGAGTTCCTTGCGTGTTCATTTGCTCTCATCTGTCTCCCGCCCTAGACTCTGATCTCAGCCAGTGGAAACTGCAGCTCTCTTGTTCACTCCTGTATCCTTTTCACTAAGAACAGTGTCTGATGCAAGTAGCTGCTCAATGAACATTTGAGTAATTTAAAATCATTTAAAAGATGTGCTGGTTAATAAGGATATTTGCTCTAAGAGTGGCTAGATAAAATTTTGTATGTATTTTTAAGTTTCTGGTTAATTATGGTGTGATTAGTTGGTAAGGCTTAGATTAGCATAGTCAAGTATTTACTCAGCTCAGATAACTGTAGAGTAGAAATTACTAGTGGGCCACCATCGAGTCCACTGAATTAAAAGTATCCAAGAAGTAGGCAGAAATGGATTTCAGTTCTGGCTCTTTCTGCTTACTTAGGGTTGAATCTAAGTAAGCTAAGCTTTTTGAGTTTTAGTTTCTCCATCTGAAAATGGAGATAGTCGTATCTGCCCCATCTACCTTAATAGGGTTTTAAAACATTGAGATAAATCAGATGAAATCTCTTCATAAACCATAAATCTCCATAAAAATACAGTATGGTACTACCAAAGAGGGGCAATAAACTCATTATTTCTCTTTATGAATGTATATTTAATATGTTCCAGGAGATAGAATTCTTAGCTTTCTTGGGGCACAGATCTGTACTGTCAAAGTGTCTAAATTTTAGAGTCCTACAGCTTCACAAAGAGGAATGTAAGACATTTCCCTTTCTGAAAAATTACTGAAATACAGTCACATTTTTTAAGACTGCTTGTTTTGAAAAAAGATTTGAAAGGAGTTATTAAAAAAGTTTTTAAGGAACAGTATGTCAGTCTATAGTTAATTTTAATAATTTTGAGTAAATTATGACAATAAACATTATATTTCTAATTGTTAATCTTGATAAAGTTTAAGTAAGACCCTTTGTTTTACACATAACTTTGTTCCAGTTGGTTCCTGCCTAAGAAATAACTATATAATATGTGTGTTTTTTTGGTTTTTTCAATCAGGTAAATTGGTCTGATCTTTCAGTCACAACAGTAACAAAAACCCACCAAGAACTTCAGGAATTTCTGCTGAAGGTAAAAGTATAGATTTTGTTGTTAAAATGATTTTTACATAATATACGTAATCCAAAAACCTTAGTACCAAAACAAACACCAGGAAAATTTAAGCAGATATATAAAGGTTGGCTTTGAACTCTCTGTGAACATTAGCTATAGAAGATGTCAGTTTTTGTTGGCTTGCATTACCAGTATAAGGAAATGATGGTTTTCCACATAAAAAAAAAAAGTGGACCCTTTTTCCTGGTTCCTTGCTGAGATGTGTATTGCTGGTGGCTGTGTGCAAGAGGACTTCCTGTGAGAGGGTCATCTGCAAAATAGGATGGGGCTTGTTTGCATTCAGTAGTGGTCATTCTACTCCTTCTGTGGCCTTCCTTAAATATATCTCCACTTGTTCCTTGAGTTCCAGCTCCTTCCCTTACTCCTCCCAATGATAGAATCCCAGAGGATTGAGAAATAAGGGATAGTGGAAATCCCTTATTGGACATGCAGAGGTAAAAGGTATCTTAGATCATTTTGTTCAGACTCTTGCTTATTTCTTCTATGCTAATTTTATTTTATTGAAAATTTTGTGGGTAGAGATAACTATTAAAAGGAGAGAATAAGTTTAAATGGTTAATAACCAATAAATTACAATTTCTCAATAAGCAAATTATTTTAAAATTTAAGAGGGACATAAAGCAGAATGTCCAGAAACAGACAACATTCCCAACCCAGTTACCAGCTTGTGGGCAGAGGTGTGACATAGTTATTGAACCATAGCGTGTGCAGTTGTCAGGACAGTGTTGGTTTTTGAGTTGTCAGCTTTGACATCACCATAAATAGATTCTTTTTAGATCTCATGTGTCTGTGTTCATTCTTAATGCTCAGAGAGACTTTGTCACCAGCTTGCAGCGCTTTGAGCAGCACGGGAGACGTGGGCTCTGAGGGACACATGGTTGGGTGTGCTGTCAGTGTTAGCTCTGCTGGGTAAAAACACCCAGCGATGACTTGAATATTTCAGTTTTTCTGTGGCTTAAACTAGGCTTTCTCAGTTAAGGGCTGAGAACTCCTTCATCCACTTCAAACTAGTGACCTAACTACACGTGGAGATGGGGGTGGTCACTAAGTTCCAGTCACCAGAGGTCATCTGCAGATGTCTGTCAGCTTCAGACAGCGTGCTGAGGAAGGACCCATGCGCGGGCGCTGCCTGCGTCCAGGGAGGGGCCGTCTGCGCCCAGAGGAGCAGCCGGCTCTGGGCCCCGGGCCCCACTCGGCCTGTTGAAGGAACCAGGCAGGGCTGCGCACCTCACCCCACCCCACACATGTGCTTTTAATAGGCTGATGGCTCACTGTGGACCAGGTGTGCCTGAGGAAACACAGCTGTCACCCAGTTTTGTGTGACCTGGTGGTCAGTATGTTAGCATCTCTTCTACTTTTCTGACTTTTTTGCCTCTTGATTGAATAAATTTATCACACTTAAGGGCAGATAATCCTGAACAGGGTTATTTGTGTTCGACAGCAACATGCTTCGTTTGCCTTTCTCCTTTTGCTCTTTCCCCGACAGCATTCTAATGTGGGAGGGTAAGCTGAGGGCATGCCCAGCGTGGGCTGGGATATCTCGCAGTGGTGGAGACTTGGGCGTGGTGGGGCCCACGGCCGCCACTTGCGACAGCCAGTTACTTCACACGTTTGGGTCGGGATGCTGCCAGCTGTCCCTCGTGCTAAGAGCTCGTGATCGACCCCTAGCCTGGGTCCGGGCACCTGATGGTCTCTCCTACTGGATTTCCCTAAACTTTGGCTGCTGTTTGTCTTGACAGATTTCATTTCTCAGTCACACAGTTTTTCTAAAAGCTTGGGTGCTTTTAAAAAATTCACCCCCCCACCCCAAAGAGAAAAACAAAACAAAACAAAAAAATTCAGCTCAAAGTAAATAAATCACTCTTAAGAATCACAGTAATTAATGATGCCCCTGCTTAGCCAGTGTTTGAATATAGTATTTTTTCAATAGGACCAGTGCCATATCAAGTTATATGAAATTAATCGGCAACATAGTGTACTTCTAGAAATGAGTTGCCGATTATAAAGCATCCTTTCAGGTTTACCATGTGTCTTTTTTCCTGTTTACCTTCCTTTTAAAATCATCTACAAAGGTTGGGAGCAAAAACTGTCCACGGAACAAGCTGCACATGGTCAACAGTCTTTACCTTTTGTGGAGGCTGTTTCCCTGCACTGGCAGTTGCTATGGTGAAGGGTGAGTGTGAGATCAGTGCTTTCAAATCCCTTTCTTACATATAAACGGCAGCTTGTCCTCCACATCCTAGCCCCCTTCCCCTGCTGCTGCTGGGCAGCTGCATCTGGCACCTGGCTGTTGTTCTCTACCAGAAAGGAAGCTCCATGGAGACAGGGTTTTTGTTTCTTCTTCATTGCTGTGTCCACGGTGCCTTAAACAGTACTTAGGACAGGGTCGGAGTTTGAATATAAGTTGACTGAATGAACGGGAAGAGTTACAAAAACTAAATTGTAATGAGATGTAAATTCTTCCAGCACACTGAGCTTGTGCTGAGTTGAGTGGGGGCTTTGGAGATGGGGGCTGGGTATGCTGGAACAGAGATCAGGCAGGTGAGAAAGTTCAAGAGCAACTGGAATAGAAGAGAGGTGATTTCAAGCTGTATAATAAGTGAATATGCCTTCCTCTCAGACTGGAAATAGTCCTCGGACATTGAAGATGAAAGCCACTTGAAAGTAAATCAGTTTGCAAATGCTGCCCAGTCTTGAGCAGTCACTGACCAGGTGAAAATGTATGTCTGCTCCCCTTCCTGTGTTTAGAAGAGCCATCAGCCACTCAGTAGTTGAAATAGGCTTCTCCATTGAAGCTGGTTTGGGCTATGTCATATATTCAGGAGAAACCGAGTTTAAAATGGGTAATATGATAAATGCTTGCTGTCCTAAATCTCTATTAAAATAACATCAAAGTGTAAATATTGAAATGAATAGTCATTTCTTTATTTGGAAAATGTGTAGATCCAGAACTTGTTTCTTCGTATTAGTAGTCCAAGGAAATGATTTACACAGTTGGGTGTGTGGAATGCCAGCAGAGCGTTCAACCTTAGCAGGTTAACAGAAGAACCAGAAGCGCTTCATTCTGTTATAACATCTTGATTCCATAGTCTAAATGTGCCTAAAATAGTAGTACGTTAGGCAACCTTTGTTAAATTTTCCATACCTGAATTGTTGACTCAAAATGGTTACTTACCTTGGGTTCTCCAATTAAAAGTTAATATGAAAACTGGCAAATTTGTATAGAATTTACATTCATGTGGCTCATTAGATAATGTGTTAATGATTCTACTCTTAATTTTAGTGAAAGTGCCCACAATTCAAGACTTAATTACAAAGACTAGTTATTAAAAGTCAAATTTAAAGCTTTGAATTCTTGAAAGACTTGGAAAGTTAGTTTTATAAAAAACCAATTTATGAGGAATTTAATAAGTAAACTAGTTAATAAAAACAAAATTATAAGTCATTTAAATTTTTTTGGCCAAGAAAAATCTATTTACTTGATTTGTGTATGTGTGTGTGTGTTGTACATGATTCTGAGGCCACCTCCATCACATTGAGGAAAAGGGTACTAAAACTTCAGTTAGTGTTTTTAAGTGAGATGTAGAGTTTTCACCCCATCTTTCATAGCCGGTTCTTTATTGGGTGTGTAGCACCAGCAGCCTGCCGTTGCCTGAGGTTCTCGTGGGAAAGAGGAGGCACAAAAGTGGTAACTATAAAGGCAGGGATCACATTTTTCAGAATGCTTTTTGAAGATAAAAATACTACCTGTGCTCTGTGCAATGTCCCACTTAACTGAAGCGCCTTGGCGTGGGAGTGCTCGGGGTGCAGCACGTGGGAGGTGGAAGGTGAGTGCGGGGCGCGTGTGCACGGCGGTGCACGGCGGTGAGGGCGCCTCGCCCCTCCGTGCTGCTCTGGTCTGGGGCCCTGTGTTGGGAAGACTTAGAAGAGGAAGTGCTCCTGGACGATTTCTGAGGAGGAGGCATGTATCTTCCTTTTATGCCTCTGGTTTGTAACATATTTACCACTAAGTGAGAAACTTAACGTCGGCCATGTGGTTTTTCTTTCCTAGCTTCCAAAGGAATTGTCCTCAGAGACTTTTGATAAGACCATCTTGAGAGCCCTGAATCAGGGCTCGTTGAAGAGGGAGGAACGACGACACCCTGACCTGGAGCCCATCCTGAGGTAACAGTTCACCTGGGCTGTCCCAGCAGTGCTGGGTCTCAGGCCCTCCCGAGGACTGAGGATGGAGTTTTAAGGGGGAAACACAGAGATTCCTTCTCTGGAGTACTTTTTAGAATGGACTTTTTCAGCCTTGTGTTAATTAAAGTCCTCTAGGCTATTAAGAGACACCAAAGTAATTTCTCATATCATTGTACTTTTCAGACATCTGTTATTGTAAGTAACTGCTTCTAAGATAATGCGAATATTTAGTGAAACCTCTTATTTTCATCATTTATTGAAAGAGGCCATGTCCAACAGCTTGACTTTGGAGATGGTTTTGGATTTGAGTTACCAGGTAAGAAGATGAGGCTAATGGGTGGGAAAGCAAGAGGAAACAGCACGGGTGGCTGAGGTGCAGTTAGAGTGAACACAGGTGAGTGACAGAGGAGAGCGAGCGTCACGTGTGACGAAGTAACTAAGCAGAAGGAATCAGGTTGAGATTAGAGTGTCAGCTCTCCAGGCTAGTGCACTAGATTTTGAGGTGAAACGGTTGCTTGTGATGTTAGAGGTTTGCAGTGTGGTTTTGGTAATTGTTGCACTCACCCCTCTCCCAGGGCTCCCTGTTAGGAGGAATAAACTAAGGAATAATGGCCAAGGAAACAATGCTGTTTCACTGGAAACTTGGATTTACTAATAAGTAAAATAAGGAATAGCAGTGTTGGAGCATATGTGGCTTAGAGTCAGGGCTTAAGTGAGACTTACCATCTGCCTTCTGAAGCAAAGATGGCTGAGTTTGGGAAGGAGACTTGCTGAGGCATAGGGAGAAAGAGCAGAGGTGTGTATCATATAGTGACCCTCTCGCTCCCAAGGGAGGGCCCCCTGGGTGTCATCAGGACAGGGTGGGGCTGAGAAAGGAGGGACGAATGTTTGCTCCTCTTGGAGAAAAACAGAAATCTGGGAGGAAGAGTCTTCACTGTATGACAAGATTTAGGGTGTGATTTGGAAGCAAATGACTGAAATAAGATAGGAAATGGAGGAAGTCAGGAGAGAAGGCAGCCATGCAGAGAGCTGGAGTTTTCAGACTTTGAAGTTCCCCTGCACACACCATGGAAGACGTGGAGTGAAGATAGTGAGGTGGGGGCCGAAGCTGCATGTAAGCGTGGAAGAGGGACCTGGAGGCTAGTGTGTGATGTGGTGAGATTGAGGGGTGGAGAGCCTGAATACGGCTTCAGGGACCCCCCTTCCCTGCAGCCCACACACGACAGGAGGGGAAACGCACTCCTTATGTCTGAGGAAAGCTGACCCAGTGGCTGGCAAGGTTTTAGAGTAAGGAGGTGCAGGCTCCCTTCATTGCAGGGTGTCTCAGGGCACAGTGGAAGGGTTCAGAGAAAGGAGGAGAAATGGAGGGGGGGTGGCTGGGTCTTGGGAGTGGTCACAGAACATTCTTTTTTAAAAAATCTTTGATTCTTTTGTACGGCTGGCCTATGATCTCAACACATTAATAGGATGTTAGGACACTTAATCTGTTTCTGAATTTTAGATTAGTATCATCATCATGTCACGTAAGAAATGGAGCAATTATAAAGGAGGGGGAAAAAGTGAGAAATAGGAAATGAGTTTATAAATGAAGTTGAGATTAGGTTGGTAATGGACATACTGCATTTACTTCCAAGTACACTGTAAATTAGGAAAATGAAAATACGGCACTGAAATGTACATTTGGGGTTGGATGATTTCTGTTTTATCAGAAACGTAATCTTGTTTTTCTTATTTAATTGCTTAAGTAGTTTATGGCCACTTTGTTCTACTTAGGTGCAGTTGCCATACTGTGAACCTTGACTTGAGTCTGTATGGTGATTTCAAGTCCGTGCCTTTATCTCAGGTGTGGATTTCCTATACTGGATATGCATTTAGTATTTGGAGTTTGTACATGGTATCTACGCTGTTTCTTGGGACTTAAATCTTGAATTGAAGATGTGCCTGCCTGTACTTTTAACCACTTGGTTTGTAAATGTAACTGGGTGATAGATGCCTTTGGATTTTAATCACCAGCCTTAGCTAACGTGTTCAGACCTGAAAATTTGGATTAGCTCCTTTACTTTGTATCTCAGTTTTTCTTCCATCTCTTCGTTCCCCCCTTTTATCTTCCTATTGAATATTTACTTCCACACTTGAGGACCAAGAAGCAATTTTGTCTAATGGACAAGGCAGCTTTGGTCTATAAGGGTCATCTCGTGGTATGGTATTTGATGATTCTATAACTAAATCTGAATGACAGGTCCAAAACCTTGGGGAGAAATTAAGAATTAAAATTTTAAATGAGTATTTAAAGTGTTCAGAAGAATAGAAGGGGATCTGTGTGCTGAGCAGGGTGACAGTTTAATTTGTGTATACTGTTTGAGTGCTATAACCTTGAAGAATGTCAGTGTTCCTTCCCTATGAGGAAATTGAAGGTGAAAGGCCAGATAAATTGTTCAGGGTGATTTCAGCTTTTAAGTAGTTGAGCTGGTATTCAGATCCTGAATAAACTTTGCATTAGACTGTGCCGTAACTGTATCTCTTTTATTAGGGTCTCTTTTGTAGGGAAGACCTCCAGTTGAAATCTTCCAGTTACATTAATAAAATATGAGGCTAGCTGGTTTTTAAAGATAACAGCTTAGAATCATGGTATGATGCATATTGCGGTGAATCATCAATCAGTCATGCCTTAGGCGGTAGGAATACTTGCAACTAACCTGACCACTGTGTCCCGTGGTTTCCAGGACTCCTAGCTTCCCGAACTTCCCAACCTCTTATGATCCGAGGATGGGAAGGTTCCTTCATGGTACAGCCAAAAGATGAAAAGTATCACCTATGAAGAAGGATAAAGAAACTGCAGTTGTTTTTCTGAGCAGAAAGACAACAGTTGAACCACTTGGGTAAAAGTCTGAAGTGATACATTTTTTGCCAGAATTGAAACCTTACAACTAGATTGTATAAAGTTAAAAGTAAGCCTGTGTATTAGAGTCTTGCAAATAACGTTTTCACTTTTATTCACTTCCTCCTATGGGAAACTCGTTACAAAATAATATTTTTTTCGTTAGGAAAACAGTTCATTAAACAGCCACTTGAGTTTGTTTACAATCCAAACTGAGTCTCTTGTGGATTTCTATTACATGAAATTAACAAATCTCATTGCTTTTGATATGCAGGCAGCTATTTTCAACTTCATCACAAGCTTTTCTACAGAGTCAGAAAGTACACAGCTTTTTTCAGTCCATATCGTCAGACCCTCTGCACAGCCTCAGTAAGTGTCCCTCTGCTCCTCTGTAGGAATCTGGCATTTTCCTCGCTTGGATTTCGTGCTTCACCATGTCACCTTGAATGGGATTGTCATTTTAGTTAAAGTCAAGGAATAGTGGCATACGATTTAGAAGCATTTGTAGTTTTTAGTGAATTTTACACTGCAGTTTTAAAGAAAATAAATTAGAAAAGCTAATGTCACAAAACAGGCTGATTCAAAGGCAAAGGCCCAGGCATCTCAAGCTTGTGGGCATACTGGATGCTCACGTTCCTTGACAGACCTGGCCCACAGGTTGTAGAGATGCTTCAGTGCTGTTTGCTTAATGGGTAAACCTCTTACAGTCTGACCCTGTTCCAAGTGACCTCCCCGGCTTCTGTGGCTGGAAACTCTGGCCTTATTCTTTTCGCTTTTCCTCTTCGCATTCAGTCATTTAAAGGCCAAGCCACACCAGACAAGGAACACCTTCTTTTCACCCTCCTCACCAATCCCGTTGGTAGTTAGGCCTTTTTTTTTTTTTTTTTTCACATATAGACTTGCAAAGCCTCTCGTCTCAGCTCCTAGTTCCTCAGTGTGCTCTGACCTATCTGGGGATGATCTTGGGGATCAGTCTGTCAATCCTCTGTTCAGAACTTTAAACGTCTGGTGTGAAGTTCAAGCCCTGCCGTCAGCCCCTCCCTCCTCCCTCCTCCCTCAGACTCACTGCTCACAGGCTTGGCAGCCACTCGGTGCCCCCTGCCGTTTGCTGTCCCAGGGTCCTGGCTCGTTTGCACCCTTTCTTCTGTCGCAGTCTGTTAAAATCACACCTGCTTCAGGCCCCGCCAGAAGTATCACCTCGTGAGGATTTCCCAGTTTTCTCGTATTACTGTGGTTTGGTTTTGCCCTTACATTTCCGCATTCATCACCGTCTGCCTTGCATTTAGTTTTATATACACATCTATCTCAGCTGCCTTTTTAAAACAAATATTTTGCCAGTAACATTGATGTGTGCTTACGACAAACGGATTAACGTTTATAGTTATTCTACTCATTTGTGTGTGTGTGTGTATGCCTTAAACATTTTAAACAGAAAAGTAGCAACTAGAATTAATGACTCTTTACAACCAGTTGACTAAGACAAGATGAACAGCTAACTCCATGTTTAAACTTATGTCTGAAGAGTGGCAGTAGACTCCTGGGCCGTTTGTAGAAGTCTGACCTTGTCACATTATTATTGTTTTTCCTAAAAGGAGCCATCCACATGAATTAGGTATTTTTAAAAACTTTATACCACACACATGTTTGAGAAGCACTAGTCTAGTCTGCTCCATCTCCTCATTTTGCCCAGAGCACCAGGGAACTGGCAGGTGTGAAGCAGCTTGCTCCAGTCCTGTGGCTTTTGTGGGGAGAGCAGGCTCCGTGGTTTGGGGACCCCTCTCCCAGTCCAGGGTTTTGTGCTGTCTTGGTGCTTCTTTCAAGGTCCTGACTACTAGAAATGTTCTCTTTGCCATTAACTCTCCACTCTCATTTCCGTGGAAGAAAAGTAATCATTCTATTTGTTTTTCTATTGTAATTTTCCCTAAAAGTTAACAGTATTTAATACTTCCCATAGATAACTTACAATCCTCTCTGAAGACTTCTAAGATATTAGAACACTTAAAAGAAGACAGCTCAGAAGCTTCAAGTCAAGATGAAGGTAAATGTTGATTCATTGGAATAAGTCATACTGCCTGACATTGTCACAGGACTAGGCAAACAGGCCGTTAGAACAGATGAAGGAGCCTAGAAACAGACATATGGGAACTTGGAATGTGACAGGTGGCATTACAGAAAAGTGGGGAAAGAATAGACTATTTGGTAAACGGTGTTGGCTGGCTTTTTAATTGGAAGAAAAATTACATAATTAGATCCTTACTTCTGTCATGCACAAAAAATTTCAAGTGAATAACAAATTATATGTAACATATAAACTTAATGTAATATGTAAAATGTAAAACTTAAATTTTTTAATGTTAATAATCTGGGACGAGAAGGCTTTCTTTACAAGACAGAGCATGACCATGGTGATCTTTCTAATCTAAATTAGAACTTAACATGTGACAAGAAACTAGACAGAAGACATGTGCAGCATATTTACAGGTAAAGACTACTGTAGAAAGATTCTTCTGAAAGTCAGACCAGTTAACAACATGGTAAAAGATAGACAGGCAATTTATGGAAGAAGAAACTTGAATGGCCACTAAACAGTGTTCAGCCCCCGAGTAGTCTGGGAAGTGCAAATTTAGAACAATGAGAGGTTATTTCACACTCATCTGATTGGCAAAACATTTTCCAGCCTGACAGTGTCAAGGCTATGAAGTAATGGGAACTCTCATCCACTGCTGGTGGGAATTCAAATTGGTACAACTGTTTTGGACAGAAGTTTGACACTGTGTGGCGAAGTTGGAGGCGGTTAATGCTGCTACCCCGGAGTTCAGCGTCTATGAAAATCGTTGTCCATGTGCTCAGGGGACAGGGACTCAGGGTCTCTTGGGAGCACGAGTGTAATGGCAAGTGCCTGGATGTTGCCCGAATGTTGTAAATGTTAATCAGGTTATGAACAGATTGTGGCATATTCATGCTAGGTGGTAATTAAAGGGTATTATAGTGTATTCAGACATGTAGCACCACTGTTGTGTTTGTGAATACACACGAGGGTAGTTAAAATTTTAAAAAATGCACTAGATTATTTCAACTGGTTAACTTCTGTAGAGGGAGGCCTTCAGTTGTTTCTCGGATATTTCATTTCTTAATAAAAAGAGGCAGATATAGAGATACTTGGGAGGTGGGTACATGGGTGTTGGTTTTATTAATATGTGGGGTTTTTTTTGATATTTGAGACAGTTCACTTTTTTAATGGTTAAAAAAGTCTGAAATTGTTGTTTTGCAGTGGCATGCTCATAATCAGTTTCATAGTTTTGGACAAAACTGATTTTGCTGTTAGGTGGAACACATTTGAGAGAATATTTAAGGACATTCAGTCACGTACTGTGTCTTTAAAAAAATTGCTTCTTTAAGGAATTTTCTATGAAAAATGCTTAGAAGTGCTCTACATGGTCTGTTGTATTGTTATGATCACATAAATTAGTTGCATCTTCCTTCTGGATTTTGCGGAAGCATTTGGTATAATAAATTGTGTTTTTCCTCTACTCTAGATGTGTTACAGCACACCATAGTCCACAAGAAACACACTGGGAAAAGTCCCATTGTAAAGTAGGTATCTAGTTCCTAAAACATGAATGTCTTTCTGTGTTTTTAAATCAGCATCACATTTACTCACTGATATATTTGGCTATAGTTCTGCCATTTTTTACTATTTGCTTGTTGTTTGTCCCACCTTTTCTGTTTCCCTTTCTCTTCTTGCTTTTGGATAGTTTTTTATTCTGTTTTTCTCTTCTATTAGCCTCGATAGTTATATGTACATTATTTTTTGAGTCTGCTCCAGGCTACCTGGAGGTTATATTCTGCAACTTCGACTTAGGAAGTTCTGATGTTAATTGTGCTTGTACCATTTCCCATGTGAAGACCTTGGATCACTGTAGCTTCACTTATCTCCTCCCAACTTGTAAACTGTAGCTTCTCATACTTGCATGAACTTTTCTTTTGATAGCACTGTTGGTACAAGTTGTTCTCCGTTGGATGGGCTCACCATGCAGTATTCTGAACAGAATGGAATTGTAGATTGGAGGAAGCAGACCTGCACCACCGTTCAGCACCCAGAGCACTGTGTGGCCTTGGCCGACCAGGTACGGGGCTTTGTTTTGTCTTCGTGCCATACTGTTCAAGCACCATTAACTCTGTGAGAGCCGAGCTCTGTGAGTGTCATTAGGTCAGGTAGTGTATCTAGTAAGAAGTGAAGGAATGTTTCAGTGTTAGACTTTAAACTTGATTGGTATATGTGGTCTAAGTGCTTCTGAGACCTGAAAGAGTTTCGATTTAAGTTATTTTGTATTTTGCTTTTAAAGTGGACCTACATTTTTATTGCTCAAAAAATTAGTACATTTCAGAGTGATGCCTAAAATGTTTAGCCTGAGGGATACATTGTTATGCAAAATTTTTTGCTTTTGAAAGAATTACTCATATCACATTTCAGTCACTGCCTTGCTGTTGGTGATGTGAATTTTGAAACTGATCTTCTCTCATGAGTGGTTGGGCCAGCTTACCAGCACTCCTGATTGTAACAAGGAAGTACTTGCTTTCTTAGGAGTTGCTCTAATCCGTGAGCAGAATGCTCTCCAGTGTGTTTAGGTCACACGGCACCACAGATACGGGACCGGGGAGGTGTGCTTAGCTGTGCAGCTGTGCAGAGAGCCACCTTCTCTCTAGAAAATAGGTTTTATTTCTGGCCAACCCTCGGATCCACACGTTAATGTTTACTGCAGTGCGTTTTTACGAACCAAAGCATTAAAGCAGACTTTGAGAAGCTGTGCGTTATCTTAGTCATACTTAGTTACGGCCTGTTTTCAGGTCCGTCTGCTTGTGCTGCTTCTCCCTCTGCTGCTTCTTAGAGCCGACACGCTGTGCGCAGCAGTTTACCAGCCTCGTCTCTAGACAGAAAACTAGTAAGCCTGCAGCAAATACGCTACTTGATTGTTTTATTTTGTGATAAGAAAAAATATAGGTCCACTTTAAAAGCAAAATACAAAATGGATATTTTTCTCATGATTTATATTAAGTATTTGTCAGAGAATATGCAGAGACAGGTAACTTCAGAAAGGCTGGGAATAAAAATTTATCAGAACACACAGCGGGGAATGTGTCATTTTCATGTTTGGTATCAGAATAAAAGGATACCTACTTGAGTATGGTGTCACTTTAGTCTGATTTCTGTTCTTTTTTAGCATTCAACTGAAAAACGAAGCTTATCTTCAATAAATAAGAAGAAAGGGAAGCCACAAATAGAAAAGTAGGTTCAATTTAATGTTTCCAGTAATAGAAATTGTAAGAAAAGGCAACATTTGATTATGGACGTGTTTAGTTTTTGTAGTATAAATAGTATTTTTCCATTACTTTTCTTTATATTTTTATCTGGACTTTATTTTTTTAGTTCTAAACAAATCAATATATGAGGGCAAATCTTGTCTTTACAATTATACTTTACTAAACATTTTTTTAATTATAAAGAAATTTTGAGGGAAGTTTTATTAATACTGTACTTAATGTGTTCTCCAGAGAACCTGATAAAAAAAAATGTTGGTAACATGTGTACTTTTGGCTTAGGGAGAAAATTAAGAAAACTGACAGCAGATTAAACAGTAGAATAAATGGTATCCGGCTCCCCACCCCCCAGCACGCCCACGGTGGTTCTGTGAAAGGTAAGGGAGTTTTCTTTCAAATACCCGTCACCTAGCATCCCGAGCGCGGTACCTGTTAGAGCAGGTGTTGAGCTGCTGTGTCACATCCTCACTTGCTCTTACCCTGCTTTGATGTGAACAGTGATTTCTGAATTAACTCTGTTAATACTTCAGAGCTGTTTCATGCAGGAAATCTGAGTCAGCCGCGGAGGTAAACGTCCCCATTGCTACAGTTAACACTCGCCCGCCTTTCCGTTGCCCCACTGGCAGCCATCTCCTCACCCATCCCCAGCCAGTCCCCACTCCAGAGCAGAGGCCCGCGGGCCCACTGGATCTTTCCACCCTCGTTCCTGTGTAAAGGCAGTTTTGAAAATCTTGGTGACTTATTCATGTTGTAATGACTGTCCTTTATAGAGTTTTATGGGACTTTAGGGGAATTCAGACCTTGTTGTACTAGATTTGTGTGGTTGTGAGTGTATTTTTTTGTCTTCTGTTTTTTATTGATGTGTAATTGATTTACAGTATTGTGTTAGTTTCTGAGTACAGCAAAGTGATTCACTTATGCGTATATATTCACGTATTTTTCCTATTTTCCATTTTGGTTTATTACAGGTTTATTATTGAGTATCCTTGTGCTACACAGTAGGACCTTGATGTTTAATCTGTTTTATATATAGTAGTTTGTATCTGCTAATCGCAAACTCCTAATTTATCCCTCCCCAATCCCCTTCCCCTTTGATAACTATAAGTTTGTTTTCTATGTCTGTGAGTCTGTTTCTGTTTCATAAATAAGTTCATTTGTGTCATATTTTAGATTCCACATGTGAGTGATACCATATGGTATTTCTTTCTCTTTCTGACTTACTTCACTTAGTATGATAACCTCTAGGTCCATCCATGTTGCTGCAGATGGCATTATTTCATTCTTTTTATGGCTGAGTAGCAGTCCATGGTATTAATATACCACATCTTTATCTAGTCATGTGTCGATGGACATTTAGGTTGCGTCCATGTCTTAGCTCTTGTAAATAGTGCTGCTGTGAACATTGGGGTGCATGTATCTTTTTGAGTTATATTTTTTTCTGGGTATATGCCCAGGAGTGGGATTGCTGGATCTTATGGCAACTCTATTTTTAGTTTTTTGGGGACTCTCCATACTGTTTTCCATAATGACTGCACCAATTTATGAATACTCTCACCAACAGTGTGGCCCCTTTTTCAATGGAGTATATTTTTAAACTAGGTATTTGTTTACAGAGATTTAATATTGATAAGGAAACCATAGTTACATTTTGACTCTAAAATCATGGGGCCAACTCATTGTCAAATGTAGCTTAGATGTTTGCTGACTCCAACTTAAAAAAAACCCTCTGTTTATTAATTTCCCTCTGAAATATTAAGGAATTACCTTTAAGAAGGTTTACCTTTAAGCATTCAGTAAGCTTAAGATATGTTTAAGATATTTTTAATGAAGCAGTCATGCATATCATGAAATGTAGATTATCATATTGAAGCTGAAAATGTTGGGTCCTTCTGATTCAGGGATTGTCTGGGTTTTTAAATAACTCAGTTTAAGGTGAGTATTTTTTATTTAAATTTTAACCTCTGTTTTGAGTAAAACACATTTACGTAATTCAAACTTCTGAAGGTATGAAAGGGAACAAAAATCCCTCACTGCCTCCCTCCATGTTGTCTCCTCCCGAAGGCATCACTGCTGTTCGTCGTCTGTATTTTTGCAGCATATTTGCTTTAAAATCTCAGGCTTTAAATCTCTCTACTAAAGAGATGCATGCGTCACCTCCCTCACATCAGCACGTCACCCGTGTTTCTTCCACCCCACTCGTACGCTGATGACTGTGACACCAGGAAGTTTGCAGGGAATGAGGTGGTTCACCTGCTCCCTTTTAACACATTACAGTGACTTAAAGGCCTCAGCTTCCTTTAATAAGTCTTGTGATTCTGTCATCTAATACATCTGAATGGTTCTTAAGTCTGTCTAGTTCTGTTTGTTCATAAATACTAGCAGTCAGATTTTTATTGTTAGAATAGTGGCTAACGTAAGTTTTTTTCTCTTTGTGATCTTGTTATTACGTTATTGCTGTGCATGACTTTTTATCTTTTGAGACATGATAACAAAGTTTGTACCTGTTTAAAAAAGGCAATTTGCGGAATAGCCTTCAGCATAATTATTTCATCCTCACCTTCCACACCTTCTGACTCTAGGGTCACATATTTTTTGATTATAAGAATTCCCAAAACTACACAATTCTGAAGCACCTGGATCATCAGAAAGAGAATTATGTTTAGTATAGATTTAGCTTTATGTATTTAGTTCCTTGAAAATTGCAAATTAATACATGACAATTTGGTGATTAGAATATTTACTAGGTATATAATCTAAAGAAAATCAATGAATAAATTATGTTATTTTGAGAAATAGCTCCTTTAAAAAAAATTCTGAAACTTACTCTTTGAAGTTTTAAAGGTTTCATTGTGTTTTGGTGAGCAGATCTTGGCTCACTCTACCCCAGTGGTTCTTTTTTTTTTTTCAGTCCATCATTTCTGGTTTGAGACTCTCATATTGAATCGTTGATCCTCATAATCCTTGAATTGTTCATTTTGTTAGATGCTGGTGTATGCCCAGTTTCGGTATGTGCCAGGTCTATGGGTTTAATTTTTATTAGTCCAGTTTAATGGCCGCTTGTTTGGCCACCTTGGCACATGAGATTGTCTTCGGAGAGCCACTGGGGGCGACTTGCATTCCTTTGCTCGGACATGTTGTGACTGGTAATTCAGAACCTACTGTGTGTCGTCTATTCCAGATTACTTACGTGAAACTGTTACTTGCTCACGTGACTCCTCTGCCACTTTCCTCATAGCATCATGAGGTTTTGTGCAGTTTTCCTCTGACAGTTTGGCATTTTATTACCCGGAAGGAATTGTCAACATCCGCATTCTTAAGGGCTTTATTCTTCGCCAGTATTCACCTCCCATTTTAGAAGGTGGGCTAGGCCAGGTCGCCTCTAACAGTCCTAATACTGTTAGAGATTACTCCCTTCAGAACACGCGGGCTAGTCACCTGACGTGCAGATTACACAGACCATGTCTTTTCTCTAATATATAGTTTGTCCAAATTACTAACATTTATTGCCTTTTACTGGTTCTGCCAGGTTGCCATGGAAATAATTCACTCATCCATAGCTCTTAAGATCTCTCTGGACTCCCTTATGTGGGCATTTGTACACTACACACGTGTCAGATGCTTGCTGCAAGGCAGGAACCGTGCTAGCTACTGGGTTTATAGAAATTAATAGGACAGTTCCCTATGTTTGGGTCAGCTGCAGGAATGTGCAGTACTTAAGGTGACCAGTAATCGTGCCTCTGTGCACAAAACAGCGTAGCTGATTGATCCCAACAGTTCTGCACATGACCCCACCCCACACTCTGCGTCCACGTGGCTTCTGGGCAGAACTCAAGGGGCTCCTCGGTCCATTAGATGGGAAGCGTCTTCCTCTTTTTAAATACTCAAGCATAGTAATTTTAACTAAACAGGCATTTTGGGCAGTCAGTTCTGTTCTTGAGCTCTTTAAAGAATGATATTTTACAACCCGCTCTGAGGAGTTAAAATATATAGACTCAAAAAGTGACCCAATGTGCTAACAGCACAGACCCCACAGACAGCCTTAATTCTGATTGTGTGATGTCCGTAAGGTTGACTTACTCCTCTCCCTTTGTTTTAAGAGTGCATTTGTCAGTTCTTTTCAATTAAAATTGTGATTCAATAATGAATTTTTACCTAGGTCAAGGGTAAATTACCTTTTAGGTAATTATAGAAAAACTGAAAAAAAAACTTTCACAGCTGTCAACTAATTTCTGATGGTTCAATTCAGAAATTTAAACAATTCTATTTTTTTAAATCACGTTATTTTTAGATGTGAATTTGGACATTGGATCTGGACATGACACATGTGGAGAAACATCCTCAGAGAGTTACAGTTCTCCATCTAGCCCACGACATGATGGAAGAGAAAGTTTTGAAAGTGAAGAAGAAAAAGACAGAGGTTTGCTCTTTGGAGGGGACATAAGGGTAGCAAAGGAAAATATGTGCTGTCTCAGTCAGTCACACAAATAATTTTATGGTGCTACAAATGTCATTATTGATTTTAAATTTGATTGGTATAAAGGGTGTCTCACAGACCGTTGACTTAGTTCCTAGCAATGTTGGTTTTTTAAACTTAATTCACTGCTTGTGAAATTAAAGAAGACAGAGTCATAACAAAATGTAGAGTTGGTATAGAAAGATTGAAAATTGCATATTGTTAGATGCACATGTTATTTATAATGTTTATGCCTTTCTGATGGATTGACCCTTAACATTATAAATATCCTTCTTTGTCTCTAACCACAATTTTTGACTTTAGATTTTTTATCTGATAGTAACATAGCCACTTTAGCTCTCTTTTGTAGGGTACCTCTTTTTCCATCCTTTTACTTTAAACCTATTTATGTCTTTGAATCTAAAGTGTTGTCTCTTATAGACACCTTATATTGGGTTATGGGTTTTTTTAGCCATTCCGTCCATCTCTGCCATTTGATTGGCGTGCTTATAATCTATGTAAATTTACTGTAATTACTGATAAGGTGGGATTTACATCTGCCATTGTTTTTTGTTTTCTGTGTGTACTGTGTCTTTAATTCCTCCTTAAATGGAGGCTTAGAGTCAGCCAGAAGAGTTTAGAGCCTTCTTAGGTCTTCCCTGGGCATCCATACAGCCCTAGGTATGAGCATGGCCTTCTGGATTACCAGGAATATATCGAAGCTTTTCAAAGCTCCCTGGGGACATCTCATTCTTTAGTTTTACCTTTTAAATATTTTGGTCAGTCTCTTGTAAGCCTCAACTGGTAATGCTGCCTGAGGCAGCCAAATTGTTAGACAGTTGCCACAGACTTGATTGCCCTGTGGGTAATGTGGGTAAGCGGCTGTTGACGCAGAGTGAACTCAAGCTGCCAGTCAAATAGTGACAGTTCTCTGGGAAGGTGCTTTTGGCGCTCCAAATCCATGTTTCTTAAGGTGACTACTAACTAGGCTGCTGGCTTTCGTAGCCACTGTAGTTGCAAGACGATTAGTTTACAAGGCTTATTTCAGAGCTGGAGAAGTGAGATGGAATTAGGGCAAGGTAAAACACCACAGTGCTTGCTATTCTTGAGAGATTCCGCTGTTTTTCTTTAATAAACATTCCTCAGATTGCTGCAAGCCTTTAGTTGATTTCCAGAATTCTGATGAAAAAGTTGATTTTGACAGTTTTTGCCAGGATTCTTGCTGCTTTTATGGGGGAGTGCAGTATCAGAGGTCTTTACTCTGCCATTCCAGAAGTGAGATATCAAAAATGGGTATGCTGAATTAAGGATGTCATGCTTTACCCATGGTAATGACATCTGACTCACAGCATCTCAGTTATAAACATCTGAGTAGCACTATCTTGGTTATAAGCTGTGCCCTTGCCAGTGGGCAGTATTAAATGATTTCTCTTGGGTAACTGAAAGATCTCTAAAGATCCTTACATCACAGCATTTCAGACATGGGTGGCTTCTTCCTGTGCAGTCCACAACTCGGGGACCTTAGCCTCTGTTAGAGTATCAGCTCATGTCTTAGGGAGCGACGGCAATACGGCAATAATGCTGCTGTATCACCTGTTATTAAGGCCAGTCTTTGCTTCGAAGTTATTTTGAAGTCATCCCAAATGTAACATGCAGTAACTGCCATCAGTTCTTCTAGTCAGAGGCAGCACTGCACTTCTGATCAGCAGTTTCCTCATGAGAATAAAAACGAAAGTAACTGCTCAGAGCTGTTATGAAGGTTAAATGAGAGAATTTTCATGCCTTACCCCAAATAGACAAGCTTTCAGTATGTTTCATTTTACATGTTACGCTAGATTCTGTATGTGGTACCAGTAATCTGGCTCTTCAGCTAACAGTGCAGATTTGGCCTCCTAGCCAGAGCTAAGTGCATCTGTATGCCAGGTTACTTTGTAGCAGTCCTTTCCTGTCCACAGATACGGTGAGCTGTCCGTGAGCCTGTGCAGAGGAACTTGCCCTTTTCCAGATAGGCTCAGGTACCAAGTGACTAAACGAACCTTCCCCAAATGAAGAATCATTGAGGGCTGTCTGAAACCACCCAGGGGTAAAAAATAAAAGTCCCGTGATAAAAGTGTTAATCATTTTTGGAATTTTGTGTGCATGAAAAGGTTGCTTTAAAAAGCATGTAGTTCTGTTCTTGTTGGCCATAAAGGGGTTTCATTTTGAGACTTTATACTGTTCAAAGTCAGTGCAAAAAAGGAAGAGACCTATCTCTTAAGTAGCCAGATGAGTCCTTATAATGCTCAGAAAACCATTTGGGACCATTAAAATCATGGGGCCATTTGCTGTGACTTAAGATTTAAACAAAGCCCAATTCATATAGAAATTTAATTGATCATCTGAAAAATATTACCCTGCTTTTGAACCTAAACATTTATTTTTAACTCTACTCATATGATCATACAGACATAGATATAATAATGCCTTAAATAAGTTCTTAATTTTTTGATACCTTTTGTTTTGCAAAGTTTGTAAGAAACACCTCAGTTATTAAGGCAAGTTTATGCTATAACCATTTACTCATAATTTATATTAGAGATTCAAATTATAATAGTTGAACTAGTAACATTTTTGACATCCTGTGTCACTAAATAGGTTCTGTTTAGTCTTTCTTACCTGCCACTCTGCTGTTTTGTTTTAGAGGAATGTTGGTGCTCTCATGTTTGCCCTGCTTCATAAAAACATTTGTTTTATGACTAATGGTACCTTCAGTTTTCTTTCCCCAAGTGAAATATTTAAAAATATGAATATTTATCCCCATTCTAAGAAAACTCTTTCATTCCTTACCTCTAGATATTTGAGTTCAACATAGTTTTGATTAAACTTCTTTAAATTGTGTAGTTTATGTCAAGACCTTGGGGCTGGCAGCGCAGAGTATAAATCAAGCAAATTGCCTAAAATTGATTAAGGTTAACTATATCTAATTCCTTTCTCTATAATAAGGTGATTTGAAATAAAGGTCTATATTTTATACTAACTTTTTGTTTCTTATCTCTCCATGGATTTTTTTTTTTAAGATTTAATTTTTTACAGTAGTTTTAGGTTTACAGCACAACTGAGAGGACAGCCCAGAGAGTCCCCATAAACCCCCTGCTACCGCACATGTACAGCCTCCCCCACTGTCGGCATCGCTCACTAGGATGGCACATTTGTTACCAAGGATGAACCTACTCTGACACATCATTACCACCCAAAGTCCATAGTTTTCTAAGGGTTCACTCTTGGTGTTGTACCTTCAGTGGCTTTGGACAGATGTCTCACAACACATATCCATTATTATAGCATCACACAGAGTATTTTCACTGCCCTGAAAACCACCTGTGTTCTGCCTGCTCATCTCTCCCCTCAACCCCCACCCCTGGCAACTACTGATCCTTTTATTGTCTGCACTGTCTCCATAGTCTTGCCTATTCCAGAATCTCCATATTTTTAGAATAAAGTCCTTAGAGAGCCAGAAATTGAAAGAAGGTCAGCTTGGTCGTCAGGAGGCGGCGGGATTTGTTCATCAGTTGCAAACTGCAGAGTTTATTTTAGATGGGCTTAAAATTTGTTTCTAGCCAGAAAGATGGGAGGTTATGCTTGTGTTAACATCTGTGTGTATTTGTTCTCCTCAGACACAGACAGCAATTCTGAGGACTCTGGGAATCCATCAGCAACCAGGTTTACAGGTTATGGTTCTGTCAACCAGGCTGTCACTGTCAAGCCACCTGTTCATATTGCTTCGCTAGGAAATGACAACGCAAACCTTTTAGAAGATCCCTTAAACTCGTCCAAGTATCAGCCAATTTCCCTCCTGCCAGCTTTACAGTATGTCATGCAAAACGGTGCCCAGAAGTCCGAGGTGGTCGTTCCTCCTCCCAAATCTGCTGACGGCAAAACTATAGGGATGCTTGTTCCCAGCCCTTTCTCTGCAGTGAAGGAGTCCACAAATTCAACCCCTGTCGGAATACTCGGGCCAGCAGCTTCTACTGGAGAATCAGAAAAACACCTTGAGCTGCTGGCTTCCCCGTTACCTCTTCCGTCAACGTTCCTCCCACACAGCAGCGCTCCTGCTTTGCACCTCACAATTCAGAGGCTCAAGTTGCCGCCGCAGCAGGGATCTTCTGAGAGTTGCACAGTTAACATCCCACAGCAACCAGCCGGGAGCCTGAGCATCGGATCACCAAACACTGCCTTTATTCCCGTCCACAGCCCGGCTAGTTTTCCAGGATCTCCTGTCGCTACCACGGACCCCATCACAAAACCCGCATCCCAAGTGGTAGGACTCAATCAAATGGTGCCTCAAATTGAGGGAAGCACAGGGGCCGTCCCTCAGCCTACCAATGTGAAGGTCGTTCTCCCAGCAGCCGGCCTCTCCGCCGCACAGCCACCAGCTCCCTACACCTTGCCAGGCTCCCCCCTCGCTGCCGGCGTGCTCCCCAGCCAGAGCTCCGGCGTGCTCAGCCCCGCAGCGACATCTGCCCAGTCGGCGGGTGCGGGCATCAGCCAGGCCCAGTCCAGCGTCCCCCCTGCGGTCCCCACCCACACCCCCGGCCCCGCCCCGAGCCCCAGCCCCGCTCTGACACACAGCACGGCGCAGAGCGACAGTACGCCCTACATCAGTGCCGTGGGGAACACGAGCGCCAGCGGGACGGTGCTGCCGCCACAGCAGATGGGCTCGGGTCCTTGTGGGTCCTGTGGGCGAAGGTGCAGCTGTGGGACCAATGGAAACCTTCAGCTAAACAGTTACTACTATCCCAACCCAGTGCCCGGACCAATGTACCGGGTCCCGTCTTTCTTCACCCTGCCGTCCATCTGCAATGGCAGCTACCTCAACCAAGCACATCAGAGCAACGGAAACCAACTTCCTTTTTTTCTGCCTCAGACTCCGTATGCAAACGGACTGGTGCATGACCCAGTCATGGGGAGCCAAGCCAGCTATGGCATGCAGCAGATGGGAGGCTTTGGGAGATTCTACACTGTGTTTGCAGCACCCAGCGTAGTTGCCAACACGAGCGGTTCAGGGCCCAAGAAGAACGGGAATGTCTCCTGTTACAACTGTGGTGTGAGCGGACACTATGCGCAGGAGTGTAAGCAGTCGTCCATGGAGGCCAGTCAACAAGGTAATCACGAGAGCTCCCAGAGGACTGGTTTTGAGTGTGCCCGTCCCTCCCTCCCTCACTGATCATGGTCATTCTGCCGTAGCACAAAGAGCAGTGTGTGTTCACTGATGGATGCTGTGCTTTCAGTGACAGGCCGTAAAACGCAGGCGGCAAAACCTAGTGTAGACGCGGGTCACACAGCACAAGAAAGTCAGAGCAGTTGTCTCCAATGAAGGAAGAAACCGTAAAGGCACTTTTTAAGGAATATAATGGGAATTTGCACATCTCTTACTAGCAGCACTTTTTTTCTTTAAAGCTACAATCCTGTTTCATAGAGTAAGTGAAATTTTAAAACACTGAGAAACTAGGAAGTGATGCCATCCCCTGAGGTGGGAGGTTTTTCGTTACCTGGGTGCACCTGCGCGCAGCCAGCTGGCCCCTTGCGCTCTCCCTGGGCAGCACTTTCCCCTCCCAGCAGACTTTTTTTTTTTAATGCTATGGCATTTTAAGGAACAAAATATTTATGCACTGGTTGGGGAGTAAGGCAGTTTGAACTAAGATTAATATTATTACCACCAGAATAAAGAAATTGTTCTCTAAAAAGTGCAAGTAAGGCACCAAATTCAGTGTAGCCCCCAGACTGTTGCCTCGCACTTGCATGAGGCTTCTGTCATCTTACCAAACCTCACACAGAAACAGTCTTGAATTGGGAGCATGTACTTGGCACTTTTAAAGAAAGATTGAGTTTGGTAGCCTCAGGTTGACATTTAAAGCACAGACTTCATACTGTTTTTTTAGAAGTCACTTTGTCGACCGCTTTGGGGTCAGCAGTGCGGGAGAAGCCGCCTGTGAGGAGCGGCCCGTTTGAGAGCTTGTGGTGGTTTGTGATGTTTGCATTGTGCGCAGTGACTTAGCAGTTCTCTTTCCCGTTTTAGGCACTTACAGACTGAGATACGCACCTCCCCTCCCCCCTCCTAGTGATACGTTGGATTCTGCAGACTGAAACAAGCAAAGCTTGCCTCCTTAATACACTGAAGTGTGGGGAGTCCTGGTGGGGTGTGGAGGGGAGGAAAGGAAAGGTATTTTGTTTGTGTTTCTTTGTATCTACATTTCCTAGATTTCTATGCAGTGGGGATTTTTCCTTTCCCTTGTACCGATGTCCAAAACAAGAGAGTGCATTGCTTTTGAGCCTCTGGTCTCCTGGTTCAACAACAGGCTTACCTGTATGATACGTGTAATTTAAACATCCAGGCAAACTATCAAAAGGAAAATGTCCATGCGTGCTTTTTTTTTTAAACTGAATACTTGCTGTGTGCAATGTTTACTGAATCTTCAAAACTGTGTATTTGACCTTTTTTTTTTTTAATATATAACACTGGTAATAGTCATATGGTTTTGGAAAAAAGAAATGGCTTCTTCCCCAGCTTTTCTCACTTTCTCCCTAAATCCTGCTTTTTCTCCCTGACCCTCACTCTTCCCAGCGGCTGCAGGTGTGGTTGGCACTGCCTTGTCCACACTTTGTAAACTGCTCTGCATATAAATTGAGGGTAAAATGTTTCACCTTAACCACAAGGGAGAAGCCAGATGCCCGAAACAGTGTGTATATATGTAATAAACAGCACCACATAAATACACATGTGCAGCGCTTGTTGTCCAAGTAAAAATTAAAACAAGTGGGAGAGAGAGGAAGAAGTAAAACCATATGAAACTGAGAAACTATGACATATGAAGTGGACAAAGAGCTTTTTCTTAGGGAAAAAACCTTTTTACTCCATCATACTTTTTTAGCCTGTTGCTTCAGAGAGACATGAAGTGAACAAACTAGTGTGAGTGTGATTCTTCTGTGTGTTTGTGTTTGTAATGAAAGTCAACAGCCACCTTTACCTGTAGTCTACCACTGTGTCGTGTAAGAGACACTTGAGTCGTCCCTGCTCCTACACCAACTGTTACGGTGTCACGTTGTGTCAATGTGTGTGGTTTATTTCGCTCTGAACAGAAGCTCTGCGATTCTACGAGTCAGGTACTTGTTCCCTGACCTGCCTCTCGTAGCAAAGTCACTTTTATAACAGTTTACCACTGTGCTTGATTATAATGTGAAAGACTGAATTCTGGGTGTGTGAAGATGGTATTAATCATGTCAGTGTCATGTCACTAAGTTTAATGCTGCTGTTTAAAACAAAAAGTTTTTTTAAAGCCAATCTATGTACTAAATTGCTTCCAGGTAATTTTGATTTCCTAAAGTGCACTGAGGTTATCTGGAAGACGGGGTGTAGTGTTTGGACTGCTGCTCTCGACAGCCACGAGCACCTAGCAACGCAGAGTCACAGGCTGCGGGTGGGGGCGGGGGCCGGGGCGATGCCCCTGCCCCCCCCCACAGAGCAGAAAGGGCCGATGTTTGTTACGGGGGTAACGTTGGTGTGCAGCAGAGGAACTTCAATATTTGGTCTTGGTTCAGAAGCCTAACAGATTGCTAGACAAAAGGAAACACTTGAAGAAAGAAGCTTCATGGAATGCTTCCTAGGTAGCATTTATATTTATAGCACCAATGTACATTTTGAAACCTCCTTTCAGGGGTGGGAGGGGAAGGAAGGGAGGCTGTGAAGGGGTAGGTGAAAGCTTTAATTTAAAAAGAAAAAGAAGCTTGAGTAAAGGAAATTATTTTGATTAAATATATTTTATTTGCTCTGGGTATTTTTGGACCACATTATTAGATTAATTGTTACGCTGCAGTTAAGTTGTTCAAGCGAGGGTTTTGATAAGCCACGTAAGGGTCGCATTGTGAGTTACTTGCCAGTTGTACTTTATGGAGCTTATTTTATGATTTAAAAGACTGTACTGTACATAGGAGGTATGTTACCTTCTCCTTATTTGTATGTTTACCATATACTTTGATATTTGAAATGTTATGTACTGGAAAGGCCACTTATATTTCTAGAACAGATTGGATTTTATGCAACCTTTTTTCCTTGAATTAACAGCAATAAAAAAATGAAAAACAGCTTAAGAATTGTGCTTTATTGCAAATTTTGTAAAAGTGGAAGATAAGAGGACATCATACCTGATGGGTTTTGGTTTTTTTCTCTTTTTAGAGAATCTACCCATTATTTCCTTATGACGTGGGCAGTGAAATCCCAAAGTTACCTGCCATCCGCTTTTCCCCCAAGGAGCCTTTACTACGTGGGTCGCCCGGGCGACTGTGGACAGAAGGGACTACGTCTCTGTGCGGACCGCGTGCATGCTGTGCGCCGGAGGCTGGGACAGGGTCCTTGTCACCCCAGAGCCGTGGCTCTGCTCAGGCCCTCCCTCGCCGAAAGCACAGAGCTCCTGGCTGACCTCAGGCCTGCTAGTGCTGTGTTCCGGGCAGCTCTCAGTGTCTCTCACTGGTTCTGCCGTCTGTAGCCCCGCCTCAGGTCAGCTGCCACCCAGTCAGTGAGGCGTGAGCGACTTCACGGAGGCGCTTTCCACGTGACCACAGATTAGTCAGTCACGTCCTCTGAGGTCCAGTCGCTCAGCGCAGCCCCTCCTGTTGTCCCCAGTGTCCCAGTGAGGGACACAAATGATTGTTCGGAACCACCTAGTGACCGCCCCCTCTGTAGCCAGCTGGGCGGCGCCCGTGAAGCGAGCACACAGCCCGGCGCTTCAGACGGCACATCCCCTGTGCGCGTCGCGCGGCAGGCGTGAGCCACCTCAAGGCAGCTCGCGTCTCCAGGGTCCTCGCCACCGTGTCCCTTCTCCCTCCTTCCCTGACTACGCCAGGGTCACCACTAAACTTTCTACTCCATTTTCCCCTCACATTTCACATCCTCCTTTCCCAAATACACGACGTGTTTTCACTTCTCGAGGCTTTATGGACAGGGTGTCCTGTAGCCAGTTCTCCGGGACCGTCTCTCCTCCCCTGGCTCTGCGGTCCTGGTGTTACACTCCTGCAGTTCACTCCCGTTCGCGAACGACAGCGCGCCAGTGCGCCGCAGGGGGACACACGCAACTTCCCTGTTCTCTCAGCAGACGTTGCGTGGGTTTTACTTACTCGCTGTTGCAGCAGCAGCGTTTTTGTACCAGTCTCCTGGTGTGTGCTTCTGTTCTCCAGGACGCGCTCAGGCCGGGCTGCGGGCCGGCGGTTCCCACGCGGTTCCCACTCAGGCCAGCAGGGGCAGGCCCTCTGTCCGTCTCCCAGCCCCCTCCCGAGGAGCTAGGACCGGGCCCTGGGAGGCCTGGCGAGGGACACGGGTAGCCTGGAGGCGGGTGTGGAGGAGCCTGACTGTGGGCAGGGTTTGGACAGTCTCCGTGCCGGGAAGGGGTGCACTGGAGGCAGCTGGTGCCGGCGCAGGAATGGAGGTGACAGGGCTGAGGGGCGGCGCACAGGCAGCTGCAGCTGAGGGAGCATCTGTGGGCCGATACGTCAAGTCGAGCCAGATGACAGAATTCGGAGTTGAGTGAATGAAAAAGTGGAAGTTGACGATAGCTTTTGAAACTGTCAGATGGTTGAAGGAAGGCCTGGAAGTTGAGAGAGCGATTAGGGGGAGGCAGCAGGAAGGCAGAGGACGGGAGAGGCCAGTGGAAGGAAGCCAGGCCCTCAAGAAGGGCTGCGTCTGACCCGGAGAGAAGGTTTATGGCCATGAGAACTAAACGCTGCTTGGGCACGGCCCAGCGTCATGCCGCGGTACCGAGAAGCCACTCAGGTGTTAGCTGAATTCAGTTTGGCCGCACAGAACTGTGATAGTGTTTTCAGAGACGAGGAAAACGCGAGAGGGTTAGGTCGAGGTGAAGGCAGTGGTTCTTTGGGTGCTGAGGAGCCTAGCAAATGTGGTTTTTCATTACATTAAACTCAGTTGGTTCAGCTCGATCCACTGATGAAAGGCATAAAATAGTTCTTATCCTCAAAAGTCAAAGCTGGTTGGAGAGCTTGCCGGTTAATGGCAGCTGTGGTTGGAGCCGTGCAGTCCTGATGACTCAGTACCGAAGTCGAATGAGGCATCACATAAAAAATTAAATGTGGATTTGCCTTGTAAGTGCTAATGCTAACATCTAACTTTTCTGAGAGGGCTCCAAAAAAATTAAAGGCCCAAGTAAAATCTCTCTCTCTCTCTCTTTTTTTTTAAACAGGCAGCATCTAGCACTTAGGAGCACCATCCACCTGAGCTTGGAAGACAGCTTTTTCAATCCTACATACTGATTACAAAAGCATTCTAAGGTTAAGGCAGTGAAACCAAATGGAGGCAAGCTGGGCCAGTAGTTAACCCGTAACCCTTCCCACCTTTCACCTCAAAGAAATAAAGAAAAATGTCCCCCACCCCGAAAGGGCCATTTCCAGAGAAATGAGTTAAGGTTCCGGGGGGTGAACGAAGAGAGGGGTGCTCTGACTTTAAACATAGCACTGACTCTGGACCTTTCCTGCGGGTAGGAGAAGATCTGAAGTTGGGGCCTATCCTGAGAACAAAGGGCTTGGGTCCCAAGCTGAGAGGCAGGTGTAACCTCAGGCAAGGGCACGTTTTCACTGCAGTCCTCTAGATCGCCAGCAGAGGGCAGCACCATCCTTTCCCAGAGCACGCCCATCAGCCAGCACAGTTTGGATTCCTAAGGTCCATCTCACATCAGTTTTCTTAGTTTATCACTGCTTATGAATCACAGCTATTGTGCCCATATGTGCAAAAATACGTTTCTTTGCCATATCTCAAGAGAAGTTGACCTAATTCTTAGGTGCTGTCCTCTTGAAAATTGTAAGCCCCCTACATTGGAGCCTAGGTACACATAGCCTGGAGTCTGCATGTGTGCAAAAATGTCTGTCCATCCTGGAAGGACAAGGGCTTTAGGCTCCCTCATTCTAGCTCTGGGAAGTGGGGTATATCACTGGTGGGGGCTTCAAAAACCCTTCCTGCTGTCACACCTTTTCTTCAGTGACAGCAGGCCCCAGTCTTTAGTGCTCTTAATTCCAAGATCTTATTTACTTTTGTTTTTGGCAGAGGTAGGTAATTAGGTTTATTTTATTATTATGTTTAATGGAGGTACTGGGGATTGAACCCAGGACCTCGTGCATGCTAAGCTTGTGCTCTGCCACTTAAGCTATGTACCCTCCCTTAATCTCCAGATCTTGATCTGCTACTTGAAATTGGGGGGTAGGGGTGGGGTGAGGTGGGGGGGCTGGGTGGTTCTTCATTAATTTTCTTTTTCCTCTTGCAGCTCCAACTTGAATCGCTGTAAAAGGGCTCAGCCAGCGTCTCATCAAAAGAAATTGCTAATTGGGCAGCAGCGCCACATGGTGGGGAAGGAGGGCAATGCAAGCAAGCAGATGTTACTGCCCACTGACCTAATTTAGAGAAAACTGAACAGAAGACAGAAAACATTTGAGATTGTAAGCCTGTGCCCGGAACCTTAAAGAATGCAGGAATCTGGCCATAAAAGTACTTTGAGCAGTCTCCTCTTTCAGCCACTGCAATCTCAGTTTGTTACACACATCTTAAATGAACGGATGGTACTTTACAGTTTCCTTTGCACTCTCCTCTGTGCTCATTGCTCAGCACGACTGTGAAGGGTGTGGGATCTTCCTCCTCCCTGTTTTACAGATTAGGAACTCGCAGTTCAGAGGGGTTCAGTGCCAGTGATGAAGGCCAGGCCCCAACTTCAGGTTAGTGCTTACCTCCCGCACGACTTCGGCCGCGCCAAGTGCTTCTCTGCTGAACCCAGGGCCCTGATCTTTTAAACCCTATGAAGCCTATAGAAAATGATAGGCACCCATGGTCTTAGCAGCCACGGGGCCTCTGGATTCCTGAGGGAGGACCGGGCCGGGTCCCGGTTGATCAGAATTGTATATCCGTCGAAGGATTTGAAAACACCAGGTGAGGGAAAGACTGCAGAGCTGGGAAACGTCAGGACTTCCAGAGCTAGGCTGTGAGCATTTGCCTGTCTCAACTCCGCCTACACCCAAGGTTTTAAACATTTCAGAACACGAAGTTTTGCTCTGCAAAGATTTTCATTATCCCCAGATGTCTTGGTAAATTGAGCATTTAGTGAATATTCCATTAATTTTAAGACTTCAGAACTTAAGAAATGAAGTAGCAGGACCAGCAGAAAAGACACTTAACTGCCAGTATTTTTATAGCTCTGACATTTGCATACAGATTGTCCCAGGCACTCCCTCTCCCAGCCTCTGCTACTCAAAGACACTCAAAAGCCAAGAATGACAGCAGCACAGTCACCTTCAAGCAGGAACAGTGACAGTCACACCCACCCCAAAAGCCTTTCAGAGTGCTCAGAATGCCACCAGGTCACCTAGTAGTTACTTAGTGCCCATTCTTGCCAGCATGTCAGTGTTGGGTCATACTCGTGACATGGTAACTCAATTGTGCACAACGTGGTACCAACAAAGCCTTGTTCCCAGCACCCACCCACAGGACGTGTGACCTCTCTAGGTTAATTCACAGAGCGGGGACAACATTCACCTTGTTAGAAGAGTTACAAGGATTAAATCTGCCAAAATCCATAAAGCACTATGGCTGACACATAGTAGGTGCTCAGTAAATTCATGATGGCAGCAAATACCTTAATGCCCCTCACAGGCCAGACACAGTTCAGCCTCAACTGTGTGAGACGGGTACTCCGCCCCATTTTACAGTTGGGGAAATTGAGGCACAAAGGCTGACTACGTGTCTGAGGACCCAGAGCAATTGAGCGACAGGGCTGGGATCGGACCCCGCTGCTCTTAGCCCCTGGCCCCAGGATGTTACACAAGCCCTGCGCTGGATGGGGCGGCGGGACCCGGGCTGGCTCTGCCTTGCACTCTGTCGCCTTGAATAATGGCCCTGAAAAGCTGGTAGAACCAGAGATAAATGACCTCAAAATCCTGTGACTTGAAGCTTGCTTTCTCACTTGAAATGATTTATCAGGTTTTTATTCTTCTTTACCTTTAACACATATTTGGTTTAACTGATTTGAAGTCTTTTTTGGGTGTGTTGGGAACAGAGACCCAGACCATATGCTGATGGGAGGGCAACTGTTTTCAGGTC